GCTGTTCGGCGTATTGTGTTTATTGTTTTTATACTGCTAGTGCTTAGCATATTTTTAGTTAATGTTTTCCTTAGTTCATATCTTAGATCTTGTTGTTTTTATTTTACATTTTATACTTTTGTTGGCTGTAACTGGATCCCTGTGTACACAGTTTTGTTCCACCACATGTACCACATGGTGTTATGACAAATAAAGAAACTCTGACTCTGATTTAAAATGCTGAAAGATTTTGTTCTGCATGTGTCAGTCAAGGGTCTGCAGTGTCAGTAAATTAAGGAAGTCTGAGATCGTCATCATTATATGTTCCCATACAGTGATGAAATTAGTTCTCTGCATTTAACTCATCACACCTGAGATACACCCAGGTGGAACAGTGGGCAGCTATGTAAGCACCGTTAGGGATTGGGCGTCTTGCTCAGAGACACAACATGTGGGCATGGCTGGGAGTTGAACCCAGACTTTCTGGTTCCAGGTCGGCAGCCCTACCTCCACCATCTCGGTCCTGAAATATGACCAAAAATAAAATGAAAAGGAACAAAATTTATATTCAGAATCACTAAAAGAAAAAAGGCTAGTTTGAGCAGTTTTCTTGTCTGACTTCATGCAAATGCATGAATTTTCTGCAACAGCGCCACTAATATGAAAAATTTGTGCTAGTAGTTTGATAACCTGCTGGGCTCTTCCTTAAACCAACCTGCAACCACCCTGCACCATCTTAGTGTATTCTTAGTTTTCCATTTACTCTTTATTTATCCAGGTAGTCTCATTTGAGTCATGAGAACTCATTTTCAAGACAGACCTGTTTTTGGGAGCAGATGGTGGGGGTTGAGGGCCTGGCTCAGGGGCCCAGGGTGGGGCAAATCAGGGTGGAGGCAGATGTGGTGGCGTTTCACCTTTTCCACCCATATTTTGACGTTGACTGTACTGGGAGTTGAACCTGCGACTTTCCGATCACAGGCCCTTCTTCTCTAACCTCTGCGCCACCACTCCCCCAGTTTAGCATATTTCTTAGTTCATATCTTAGATCTTATTACCGTTTTTCTTTACAATTTATACTTTTGTTGGATGTAACTGGGACCATGTGTACACAATTTCATTCCACCACGTGATGAGAACAACAAAGGAACCCAGTAAATTGGAAACCGTAGGTTTGATCCCGTCTCTAGTATTTTATTTATTTTTATTTATTTAATTTTTAAACAGGAAAAGATTAAAAGAAATCGGGCCTGGCTCAGCATAATTGCTGTTTTACAGCAGGTTCCTGTTCTGCAGAACATAAATTAAG